CGTGCCGGGTGCAGGGTCTGCTGGCTGGGTGCTGGCAGGCTTGCACCTGGCACAGGCACCGAAGCCAGCCCATGCCCCTTTAAGGAGTCCGGGGCCGGGAGGGGGGCAGACGAGTTTCCCTGGTGTTGGCCAGAGTGGCCACCTGGGAAACCTGGGGAGGGCTAGCCTCCCACTAGTTCAAATTAAGGGGCTACACACCCCTTAATTTGAACTAGCTAGTTCGAACTAGGCTTAATCCTCGTAAAATGAGGTTTTCCTAGTTCGAACTAAGCGCTCCGCTAGTTCGAATTAAGTTCAAACTAGCGGAGCGCTAGTGTAGCGCCTAAGAAAGTTAATTCGAACTAACGTCCATTAGTTCGAATTAACTTTGTAGTGTAGACATACCCTAACTCAGTATAAGAAAAATCAGGATTTTTTAAATTGATTTGACTTAACAATATTCTACTCTTTAAAACCTTTTAAAAAAAATCTAATTTACTTCATAGGCAAAATGGAGACAGAATAAAAACCAGACAAACTCACTCTTTTGAGAAAATAAATTCACTCTTATTTTAGTCATCCTAAAACTAACGTATCACATTATGAACCTAGATACTGACATAATTGATAGTAGGACTGGTGCACTTATTTTCTGGCTGAATCACTGACAAGTTACTAATCTCTGAAGGGAGGTCTGCATCGAAGAATTTCTCACATTTCTGGGGCCCATCTTTCTTCTGAGTGGACGTCATACAACAGGGAGAGTCCAAATAAAAGGAATTCAGATCCACGTGTTCTTCACTGTCAATAAAATTAAGAAATTTCCTGAAACAATATCACCAGTAAACTTGCTAAGTCATGATGCAACATAAGTACACTTTGGCTTTCATTCTGCAAAGCATGCAAGTATATGTATAACTGAGGTCTTGTCTACACTATCATGGGCTGTCTACCTAAGTTACACAACTTTAGTTACGTGAATAATGTAGCTGAAGTCGATATACTTTGGTCTGCTTACTGAAGTAAGCCGACAGCTGATGCTCTCTCTTCGCGCTTTGGTGGAATATTGGATTCCATGGGAGAATGGTAGCAGCAGTCAATTCAACCCCTGCTGGATCAATAACTGCTCGTTGATCCAGCAGGCAGTGAAGACATTATCCTCTTACTACATGCTTTGACAGATTCAGCCTTATTTTTTTGAGTATAAGAGATGAGTCCTGAAATATTCCATGAAAACACAGTTATGGTACCATATGCTTATCTTATGTTTACCTTAAATGATAGCACAAAAAATAAAAGTACCACTCAACCTACCAAAATGAAAGTAGCACCCCATGCCTTCATTTTCTGCCTCTCCTTTTCCCTCTCTTGAAAACCATCTTTAAACAAGTCCAAAAATATAGCTTTAAATATTGAAGTGATAATGTTAAGAGTATAAAAGTTATTTCCCCACTTTGGACATTGCTAGTCAACCTCTTCCCATCCTCGGGGTTTTTTGGAGGTGTGGCAAAGACGGCAGAATTTTAATACAATGTCTCAAATTGTAACTACAGCTAAAACTCAACTGCCTGTATTGGGTTTCAGAGAATGAAACTAAAGCTGTAGGCTACGTCTACACTGGCATGATTTTCCGGAAATGCTTTTTGGACATACACCCAACAGCATGCAAGTCCTGTCCAGCCTAGAACTGCAGATGCAGCATCAACTCTTTATACCTGCAGCTTTCGCCACTGAATTTTTGATAATTACTTACTAGAAAATGTAGTATGCTCAGAGGAGAGAAAATGCCAAAGTTGACATCACTAATATTTTATATGTATCCAAAATTGTTTTCATACCAAAGAATCATAGAATACTACAAATGGAAGGGACCAAGCATCATCTAGACGAGTGTTTCTGAAAGCGTACTGCGAAATCACTTAACAAAAACAAAAAACACAAATTAACTAGCCTCCCCAGTTTGTTTATTTACTGGCGCTGTGGCCATGGAGCCTTGCGGCTCCCATTGGCTCTGTTTCGTCCTTTGCAACCAAGGGGAACTGTAGAAAGTGGCCAGGGCTGGGCCACTGCTTCACACAGCTTCCCTTGCCTGAAAAGGACAAAATGGAGAAAATGGGAGCCTTGAGGCTCCATGGCTTTAGCGCCAGTAAATAAACAAACCGGGGAGGCCAGTTAATGGTTTTTTTAAAGTGATTTCGCAGAACACTTTCAGAAACACTGGTCTACACCATCCCTGACAGATGTCTATCTAACCTGTTCTTAAATATCTCCAGAGATGGAGATTCCACAACTTCCCTAGGCAATTTTATTCCAGTGTTTAACCACCCTGACAGTTAGGAAGTTTCTCCTCATGTCCAACCTAAACCTCCTTTGCTGCAGTTTAAGCCCATTGCTTCTTGTCCTAACATCAGAGGCCAAGGAGAACAATTTTTTCTCCTTCATCTTTGTGACACCTTTTAGATATCTGAAAACTGCTATCATGTCCCCTCTCAGTCTTCTCCTTTCCAAACTAAACAAGCCCAGTTCTTTCAGTCTTCCCTCATAGGTCATGTTCTCTAGACTTTTAATCATTCGTGTTGCTTTTCTCTGGATCTTCTTCAATTTCTCTACATCTTTCTTGAAATATGATGCCCAGAACTGGACACAGTACTCCAACTGAGGCCTAATCAGCGCAGAGTAAAGCAGAAGAATTACTTCTTGTCTCTTGCTTAGAACACTCCTATTAATGCATTCCAGAATCATGTTTGCTTTTTTTGCAGCAGTGTCACACTGCTGACTTATATTTAGCTTATAGTCCACTATGACCCCTAGCTCCCTTTCTGCAGTACTCCTTCCTAGACAATCGCTTCCCATTCTGTATGTGTGAAACTGATTGTTCCTTCCTAAGTGGAATACTCTGAATTTGTCCTTATTAAACTTCATCCTATTTACCTCAGACTGTTTCTCTAGTTTGTCCAGATCATTTTTAACTATGGCCCTATCCTCCAAAACCCTTGCAACCCCTCCCAGCTTGGTATCATCTGCAAACTTAATAAGTGTACTCTTTATACCAATATCTAAATCGTTGATGAAGATAATGAACAGAACCGGTCCCAAAACAGACCACTGCGAAACCTCACTTGTTATGCCCTCCCAGCATGATTGTGAACCATTAATAACTACTTTCTGAGAATGGTTATCCAGCCAATTATGCACCCACCTTATAGTAGCCCCATCTAATTTGTATTTGCCTAATTTATTGATACGAAGATCATTAGAGACCGTGTCAAATGGATTTCAACCTTTACATAATTCTATGTACAAAAAAGGATTAAGTTAGAGTTCTGGTTGCATAAGTATATTTCTTCACACCACTCCATATAAAAAGAACAATTAAATTAAGGCAATAATCACACCCTACAGAATACCAATGTCCAATCACTGATCTTCTACTATCATGACAGTCTACCACAACACCACAAATTCATCCATAGCATGTTTACGGTCAGTTCAACAACAGGATCTCGCAAAATGTGCATATCAAGGAACTTAATAAGCGGCAAGGAGTCCTATGGCACCTTATAGACTAAACTATAAGGTGCATAACTATAAGGTGCAAACTGTTGGAGCATAAGCTTTCGTGGGCAAAGACCCACTTCGTCAGATGCATCTGATGAAGTGGGTCTTTGCCCACGAAAGCTTATGCTCCAACACTTTGGTTAGTCTATAAGGTGCCACAGGACTCCTCGCCGCTTTTGCAGATTCAGACTAAAACGGCTACTCCTCTGATAAGGAACTCAATATTACACATTAGGGATATTAAAATATATTTATTTGTGTAAATGTGTAACCACTGAAATTTTCAGTGGTTACATGTTTACATACGGTGAATGAAGGGGGTGGAGAGATGAACACAGGCTCCTGTTCTCTCTCACACACCCCAGCACTGCTGCCTCAGTATCAAAGGTAGCAACATGGAAGGCAGATGGCTCCATGGGAGCCAGTGCTCTTGGGAAGTTGGCTTTTAAATTGGCTCCTTGCATGTACCAACTCTTACCGGCCCCTCTCATCCATACTGCTGGCTCTGTATCAGAGGCAGCAGAGTGGGGGTAGGGAAGAGGTGGAAACCAGTGTGTGTGGAGAGCCAACTCCCACAGAGTCATCTGTCCCCACTACAGAGGCAGCAGCATGGTGGAGCGGGGCAGGAGAGAGCAAGTACACACAGTACACATATCACTGTGTACTTGGGTACATATTCACATCCCTATTACACATATTCTTTAATACAAATTTTACTTTCTACCCTTGATAAGAATATTGCTCACGGATCAGGGAAATTACTTCAAGAAGAAACACCTTATCACAATATGCTAAATGGAATCTATGCCAACATCTCTGACTGCTCTGTAGTTTAACCAGTAAATTACTAATTAAAATTTTAGAAAAAAATAATAAAAACTTCAGCCAACTAGAAAATCAATCTATTGTAACACAGGAAACATGCTGTACTAACACTCTAAACAGATGTTAGACACATTGAACTAGAATAAATGCTAGAGAACCACCATGTTTCAAAGATTCTAAATAATAAATAAAATCAACTGCATCTTGTGGTCTACTTACACAGAATGCCTAATGTAGTCTGCAGCTTATTCACAGCTGTTCACATGTATGCTCAGGAGTCTACTAGTAGTGAGATAACATTTATTTCCAGTTGCTAAATTAATCACTTTCATTTTAATAAAGCCTTTTAAAATGTTGTGTATTGTTTTAAAAAGTTAAAAATTAAGAAGTTATCTCCTAGCATAATATGTTCCCATGATCCCCTCTCTCTAAGAAGAAAAAACAGCTTTCTGGACACATTTCTGCGTCTTTCGGGAATTACCAAATAACATCATACATTTTTGTAAGCAACCCAACTTCTATAAAGCACTAACATTGTGCTTCTCATGTTATAGGGCCTATACAAAGAATTTACAATCTAAGAAAATGGTTTCAAAGACCCAAAGGAAGGAATTCTCAGAATTGGTTTGTTTTGTTTAACTTTAGTCATCCAATTATAAAATATTGCAGTACAGAGAGCATTTGAGTGATATGTATTAATGTTTATGAGCCTCTTTGTGGTAAAATGAAGTCCTAAAACATAAGCCCATATAGCACAGGCCTGGTCTGAGGCCTAAGGCCTAGCTAACAATGGACAAAAGCATGTCTAACATAAAGCAAAGCTAAGCTGTGAGCAAGAGGCAGGCCCCTGCTCACACACCTGGGCACAAACAGGGCTGAGAGTGCAAAATGCTAATTGGTAATAGGCCCAGGTGTAGACCAGTAGTTGGTACTAAATACCAACTGTAAAACAGTAATTGGTACTGATCAGAACTTGAAAGCACATGGCAACACCAGCTCATTAAAAAAATACCTTATTACCCATATTCCCCACAGATACTGACCCAGATTAGGACAGGGTCTAAAATGACAGCTTGATGGATAGAGATGACCTGAACAGATCACGAGGTACAAGGTGATGGATGCGATTTAAGAATAGATCACGAGGTACAAGGTGATGGATGCGATTTAAGAAGAGTCAAAGCATGGTAACCTGGCAATGTCAGAGGGTGGCAACCTGACAATGTCAGTAGTGATGTGTAACTTGTTTGTACTGTATACAAAGTGGTGTCTTGTGGGGACAGTCTTTGAATGACCTAGGGGGCAGTGGGACCACCCACTGATTCAGTCATGCCAGTGTTATGGATTATATATGCGTAGTGGTTTGGCAGAGTCTACTGATGACTATTACTGTACTTCACTTAACAATACACCTGGCG